CCACTTCTGCTTCCAGCTTTCCGGCCTTGTCACGCCACATGCTCAACTGGATCTCCTTACTGGACAGCTGATCCTGCAGTCGTTTGATTGTCCGATTTAGCCCAGTCACTCGATCCGCGTTCGCTTGCACATCGGTGAGTAGCGTGTACTCACCACTTGTCAGCTGACCGACTCGAACTGATTGACATGTGGCGGGGATGTGAAATGGGTAGAGATTATAATATATTATGTATATATTGCATAATATATATATATATTATAATATAATATATACTAACAACAGTACTGATTCAAGTACTGTCCACATACATTTCGATTTCCGTGTTCTAGTTTCTTGATTACGCATGGAACAATCGGCAATTTTTCGATCATCTGAACTGACGTTGTCATTTGTCTGATATCATGGAATGATCCCGTGGTTCTGTGTGTTGCGCAATATCAACATAAAACATTCTCAAGAGCCACGTGCAATACGAACACAAGTGTCCAATTGTCATTTGTTTTGACTTCGATCCCAGTGATAACGCACGCAAAAGAGACCGCTCGAATAAATCTGATGATGCTTGACTGATGTCAGTGATCCAAATGAAGTGTACATGGATTAGTTTGCTGCATGTTCTTATTGTCTAATAAAGTCAAGTCAAAAGTGCTAAAGTGTGGACAGAATTTTCAGTAAAAAGAATGTTTTCACTTTTCCCTTTTCATTAATCATTAAAAATGAAGTTAAAGATATGATAAACAGTTACTTAGATAAGAATGAATAGGACACTGAGAACGCGTGAAAAATTGCAGAAAATTTCAGCTTGAAAATTTACAATAGTCTGTGTATAAGTTTGTTTGATATTCGTTCCCTGAAAACCAACAAACGTGAAAGGTAAGGTACAACGGAGTTGTGAAAAGCAGTGGTACGAAGTTGAAATGGATCTAGATAGATCTGAGTGTAAAGGATGTGATGTATTGGACAAGATACAGTCACACAGACGGTCACTCGCCTTAAGGTGTTGGTTGACAATGGAATCAACCAGCTCCTCATAAGATACAGATCCATATCTAGATATACTTTTCAGAGAGCGTCTATTTAATATGAACTCCTTAGACGGTAGACCGGGAAAAATAACCGAAGCGCAGTCGGTCCAATCGCCTAAAACGTACGAGAAAATAACTTCAGAAATGATGTACTATGGCACCCTCAGATGCCGAAGGCGTGAAATACAAAAGGTCAACTTTCTGACTTTAAGAAATGTTTGTTCCACGTGATGCGACCCTTTGAGGTTAGCAGACACAAAACATTCAACACATTTGATGTGTTGTGACCTTTAAGCTTTCGAGTTATTGATTAGGATATTGGGAGCATATGATCCAGAAGGTTTTGATGGCCTGCGGTCAAGGGAAAACAGACTTCAAAGCATTTGTTACGGTTTAAAGAAAGTTTAACACCATCGGACCATTCAGAAATGGAACTTATGGCTGATTGAAAAGGGTTAGTTGAAGGGTTGTTGTTTTGAGATGCACCACCAACTACTATTCCATCGGCATATTTAAAAGTGAAAACTTTTTGGGTGACTAGAAAGTTTTCGATGTAAAAGAAAAGAAAAGGGGATAAAATTGCACCCTGCATTGCAATACCGCTGGAAGACCCAGTACAACTGAAACAAGGGAATTGACGTCGGTCAGTTAATTGGTCGCGCATCCAATTTAAAAGATGTGGCTGGAGATTATGTTACCATAACAGCGACAGTGATGTTTCAATCAGCAGAGGTAAAAAGCGTCTGTTTAGGCCAAGAAACAAACGTGAACAATTTTGTGTTCTTGGTGTATAGGGGATAAAACAGAATGTATTAGACAAGCAACCGTATCTAAAGTACAGCACCGCTTACAATAAGCAAACTGACTGGAATCATGAGAATCAAGCCTGGAGGATAGGTGCTTAATAGTATTACGCTCAAAAGTCTTAAGTAATACTGAAGGTGAAGCGATGGACTGGAGTGATGTGAACATCAAGCCATGTGGTAACTAGTCTTTCTTCTGACAGACACATATTAAAGATGGATGAAACGGTTTGTGCGAGGTGGTTTGTGCATGTTTTAAGGACCACTGGGGATAACTCATCAGGATCAGCGGATTCATTTCCATTGACAGCATTTAAGTCTTTTAAAACTTGCTCTATTGTGAAAGACACAGGAAGGTGGAAATCAAGAGACTTTGTATTTGGACTCGGTAAAAATTGTGAAACGTTTTTCACTGGAGCAAAATATTTGTTGAGCTCACTGATATCATATTAGACTGTAGTAGGTGAAGCTGAACGACCACAGAGTAACTTCAGTTCGTTCCATAGCTGACGGCAGGAGTTGTCTTCTAGCACGGTGTCAGCATACAATTGATTGAGATGGGCTATCTCGCTTCTGATATGAACGTTGACAGATTTGACCGTCAGTTTATCTCTTAAGCGATACATCCTTTCTTTCAGCCTATGTAACCATTTCAGTCTATCAGAGTTAAAGCGGTTGGGCTGTAGGCAAATCTTTTCCCAAGGGCAGCACACATCATAACAATAATTGAGATAATTGGTAAGGTTCGCACAGAAGTGAGATTGTTTTTATTATCTCTTAGCAACGGGCTGTCTCCACCCGGTTTAACACATTTGATGTTACGTCATATAGTTTTGCATTGTCCCCAGAACAGAGCTTATCCCTTTTCCAGTTGCTGCGCTCAAACAGGAATGCATAAAGAGCTTCTTGCAAGGAGTTCCAATCCAGGAACAATGATGGCCACACACGAGGGACGGGTGTCCGATGAGTCATTCAAAAACAGATCACGCATCCCCACTCGAATCCTGCAAAATACCCCAAAATACATATTTACAGTCATTTAAGGAACACAGAGAAAGTTTCAGATTATCGATGTACCCGAACAAGAAAGACCATC